AAAAATGATGAATCGACATCGATTTAATTTAACGTAACGAAGTAACTTAATTTATGTTTAATAATATATTTTTATAAAGATAATAATTAAGTATTTTGTTAGAACTCAATAATTATTCTAATTATACTTTAGATTTTTTATATTTTAAAATGAGATATTTATCCTCTATTTGATTATGTTTATCCATAGTTAATTACACGAATTCAAACATAGAGCTTTAATAAGTTGTACTTATACACAATTTACTTGTAATTTTGAATTTTAAGTAATATGCATCAATAAACAATACTTTATGCATAAAAAATGATTTTTAAGAGTTTTTGTCAAATGCTTTATAATATATCATAGATTAACATATAAAAATGTTTGTTCTCTTAATATTCAAAACTCATCTGATAAAGGACAAACTAAAATTTCAATGTGGACCAAAACTGAAATACCAATTTTATAATATGAATTTAGATTCAAATCTTAACTCAAAAACATGTATTCTTTTGCATCCTTTCCAAGTTTTGAGGTTTTTAGAGCTTTATATAAGGTACGACTTTTCTTCCTTACTCTGCGTATGCGTGTAAACAGGCTAAGAAACCTAGGAAGAAGACGGAAACCGCTGAAGAAAACGAGCGATGTTGGAGGTACCACCGAAGAACACGAACAGTGGTTGACGTGATGTATCGCCAGAACTATTCGGTTGTGACCTGGAGAGAGGTATTGCCATGTAGTAGTGTCGGAGGTGTTTTAACTTACATTCCTTTATATCATGATCTCTTTTAGGGATGATTTCGTTTAATTATGTTTTTTTTCCCTAATTTACTAGTATTAACCTCATAATTATGTTTTCAACAAGTTAATTCTATAATTTATTCTTTAATTTCAAACCCAAAGTCTTTAATTATTAACATATTCTTTTAATTTTATTCTTCAATCTTGTTGTGGCCAACAAGGGTTGCATCCCTTTCTACTTACTTTAGAATTCTATGTTGAAACATTCACCAACTTTCTTCTCTCTTTTTTAATGGTTTAATAATATAATTTTTATAAAGATAATAATTAGGTATTTGTTATAACTAATGATTACCGTAACTATATTTTAGATTTTTTATATTTAAAATGAGATGTATATCATGTATTTGATTATGTTTATCTATAATTAGTTACACAAATTAAAAAAATGAAGTTTTAATAAGTTGTACTTGCGCATAATTACTTGTGATCTTAAATTTTAAATAATATGCATCAACAAACAGTACTTTTATGCATAAAAAATTATTGTTTTTAAGTTTTTATCAAATGCTCTATAATATAGTATAGATAAAAAAAATTGATATGTGTTTTTGTAATTATTAATAATAATTGATTGATTTTAAATTAAATATGATAGTAATTAGAAATTTGGAATCAAATATTTCAAACATCAAAAGAAAAAAAAGATAAACAAACCAAAAAACCAAATAAACACTTCAAATAAACCCGAGATTAGACTAAGCGAAACAACGAAAACCAAAGAACAAACAAAACCAACCAAAGCTAACAACCAGTCAGATAAAAATCGTGAATCTAAAAAATGGTCATCGATCAATTTATTTTCAAATAAGTGCCAAAATATAGTAAAAAATAATTTAATAAACAGTATAATTAAAAAAGATAAGGGATACATTTTGCTTTTTCACGATATCTTCAAAATATCAGGACCGGACTTGCATGTGAGGCTGGGCTGAGTGGATTAGCTTGTTACTGTCATGTTGAAAGAGAGGTTGCCGTTGAAACTGAATACAAGAATCAGTGGAACATATTTGCAGAGTAAAATCCGAAGCAACTTTTGTGCCCATCCTTCGTTGTTGTTTGTTGTTTCCCATTTGGCTAAATAGTTGCAGAAAAACCACATTATAACTCCTTGAATAATTTGGTAATGGGTTAAAGTCGTTTTTGTCTTCCATGTCTCCCTTCTACCATCGAATTCGATATCTAAACATGGGTCCATCATATATCCTCTCACATACGATGTTCCCTCTTACCAAAAACGCTATGCATCTTTTAAGAATTACATATCATTTAAATAACATATAATATCTGTCGTATTGAATTCGAATTACTCTTTGATTAAGTAATGATATGTTTTTCTAGTTTATTGTTGGTTTATGTTGTTTGTTTGAGACATTTAACTTAACTCATGTGTGCGCAGTCGTAAAACATATATATTTAGGCATTGATTACCCTCGTGCTTGAATGAAGATCACCTGTCACAAATTGTCAAATTCTCATATCCCATTTATATCCACCAATCATATGAACACACATCATTAGAGAGAGAATGTGAACTTCAATAAATTAAATTTAAAATATATAAAAATATGATTTTTCTTCATTTCATTGGTTGGATAGGAATGAGACGTGTGATTTTGGGACAACAGAGTTTTATCCCTCTTGCTTAAGTCTAGATCGGCCGACACACGATGGACGACCATGCAACCATTTTTTCCCCATTAATGGCTAGAAAACCAGGTATCAACGACGAATATCAGCGAAGGAAATTTTCCCTTGCAGATCAGCGAGGGATCAGCGAGAGAAATGACAAAAAACTCATTCCCTCACTGATCCCTCGCTGATCTGCAAGGGAAAATTTCCCTCGCTGATCAGCGAGGGAAATTCCAAAAAACTCATTCCCTCGCCCTGATGAGGTGAATCGTAGGAGTGATTTCAATCGCTTAGGGGTGAGTCACAATCTARTACCGACAGCCCTCTCCCTGATGAGGCATCTCTTTGGGAGCAAAGTGTCGGAGGACGGAGGAAAGGCCGAATATTTGGTTTCAGGACCACCCAGGACCCCTCTTATGGTATGACGGGTAGATGTAGCAGTAGCGGGTCATCATACGAGTCAAGAGCGGAGGTACATTGGTTATATTGTTATAAACTTTCTCTTTACTAAAATTGCGAACAAATTACTGATTTGGAAGAATATTGAATATTTACAGGTAACGGAGTTGAGAGATAAGTTGTCAAGGGTAGAAGAGGAACTCGAGACCGAACGGAAGAATAGGGCAGATTTGGAGGCCAGACAAGCTGCCTCGGCAGCTGAACAGGCCAGACAAGCCGCTGCATTAGCCCAACAGACTGCTGCTTTAGCCCACAGGCCGCATTATCGGAGCATTTTGCTGTGTTTATGCGGCAGTCAGGATACACTTTCCCACATCCCCCAGATCCTGATAGTTAGATTGTATGTATTCGAAGATTAAATTGTATGAATTGAATATTTTAAATTGTATGAATCCATATTTTAAATCGTATGAATTGGTTACTTTTGT